CCCCCCCCTTCCCTATCCAAATTACAGAAAAGGCCTTTTTGGAAGAAAATTAAATTTGTGTACATGATGAAGAAAGGAAGTGATACAGTGAAGAGTTGATATCAGTTTTGTCTTTCTCACGCTTCTTTTGACTCCTCTGATTGCTCTCGTTTGTAACCTTCTGTCCCTCTTTCCTGACCCTTGCACGCAACCCTTGTAAACACATCTTCAAAACAGTAATTATTAAGGAAAGAAACAACTTTGTCTCGAGGTGAACTCTTTTCAAAGAACGGGGGTTTTTGTTTGTTTGTTTTCTAATAAACCTTTGGCTCTGCTTCTCTAGGAACCTTTTTCCAGTCCTTCCTTAGAGATTTGAACAGCAAGGTAGTGCTGCTGCTTTTTTGGGGTGTGTGTCCCCCCATGGGTTAACTCTGAATATTAGGATGGGGGGAACAGGAGGGTTCCCCCCACTGATGAAGTCCAGAAATGAGGCTAACTTGGCCATGAGACTTTCCAGAGTCTGGGAAAGTGGTGGTGCACACAGAGGACAGAAGTTTATCATGTAAGACCGTCTGGGAGCTTTATGCCCGATATTTGTAGACTCAGTATTGACTTGTGTTTTAGAAAACAGCATTGAGGTATGTCTCACTGCAGCCAAGTGTCTTTTCTTACTTGAAACAACGGTACTGTATGAGCATCCAAGAAAAGTAGCCTGCAAGGTAAGTACATGCTGTGTGCAACGGCTTTAGGCTAGAAAAGGAAATACTTATGAACAACTCTTCTTTTGAAAATGCTTTAATTGTAGCACTGTGATTGACTCGGTTGTTATTCCCTCCCTTAGGTTCATTAAAAGACCACCCGCAGCAGCAGCCTGGAATGCTTTCTCGTGTGACTGGTGGCCTCTTCAGTGTCACGAAGGGAGCTGTTGGTGCCACAATCGGGGGTGTTGCTTGGATTGGAGGGAAGAGCTTGGAAATTACCAAAACAGCTGTCACATCTGTGCCTTCAATGGGAGTGGGGCTAGTCAAAGGAAGTGTTTCTGCTGTGGCTGGAGGTGTTACAGCTGTAGGATCTGCTGTTGCAAGTAAAGTGCCTTTAACAGGAAAGAAAAAGGATAAGTCTGACTAAAACCAAAACTGAGACGTACTTGATTCTCCAGAATATTACATCAGTGGCATTAAAATCTGCTAAGATTTGGACCATGAGAAGCCATGTGTCTTAGACACTTTATCTTCTAAAGAGCTGTGCAAGTAACTCTATTTCATCTGAAAAAGACAGAAGAAGCTTGGCTAGCACAGAATATGAAGATTTATTAGAGCCTAGATTGAAGCTTTGTATCTGGTGAAATGTTACACTTGATAACTATAGAAGTGAGTAAGTGTATCTGAAGGGATAATACATATCTGAATATTCATTTACTGTAAGTCTTTTGCAGTTTTGGACTAAAATGTGAACATAGAAACTTGGTAATCTCTGCCGTACCATCAATATCACGAGATGCCATTTACTGTTCTCAGTGGTTTCCACGTCCTCCTGCTAAGGATCCTTCAGCCGTGTAATGGCACTGTTGGACGTACCCAAATAGTTTCGGTTATGAAACTGTATTTGCAGGCAGCCTGTAAACTCTCAGTGACTGCATTCTGCCAGTGCGGACTGGAGCAAACAGAACTGGAGGTGTGCAGAAATTGGAAATGAGAGTGGGAGATAGGAGTGAGAAAGTTTGACAACATGGTAGAAGGGATCATAAAGAGTAAACTAACTTAATGCCTTATTAGAAAAAATATCTTTTTACTAGGTGAAGCTGTGTAAAGAACCGTCCTATCATTTCAGTGCAGTTCACAGAATGAGCTGTAGACTCTCTTTACGAATCCCGATATCTGAAACCCTGTCAATTTTTACTGAAAGCAAGATTGCTCCATCTCAGGTGTATTTAACGATACGCATCTATCTCCTGCAAGTGAAAACTTGCTTCTAATAAACTTCTTATAGACACTAGAAAAAATGATGGCTTAATGGAAACTGGGCTGATGTTTGTGGTCATCTAGCACAACTGTCTGACTTGAAAGAAATTCCTTTGTGTAGTTGGAAACCACTGAAGAACTAGGAAAGCTGTTGTCTCAACTCCATGATGCGCCAGGTTAGCTTGCTCTGTTGAAGCAAATACAAGGAATTTTTCACTACATCTTTCTCTCATACTTTGCATTTTGATTTTTGAGTAAAATGCAATACTTCTATTTAAAACAAACCAAAAAGGGTAGATGAGGCCTTAAAAAAAAAAAAATCATCATCCAAGTAAATTGTATACTGACAGATTCCAAACGTTGACACACCTCAAATGGGAACATCTGTAGGTTCTCTGCAGCATGTGAGAGGCAAAATGCACTTGTAACGACACAGCTTGAGGTTGCCTTAAAATAGAAGCTGTTGGTGATCTCTTTTTTCTTGTGTGTGCGTGTACTGATTCTGCAAATAAGTAACCTCTTTGGAAGCCTGTAGAAGGTGGCTGTGAATGTTGTGTATGCAGTATTTTCTAAAAACTTGTGTTCCTCCAGAGAACTTCTAAGCAAGTAAGCTTACTTTTTCAGTGGCTATGGTTGTACAGGAAGGATATATAGGGAGACGACTTAGAAATTAAAAAAAATCAAAACATATCACTTGTCTAAAACTTAGTCCTATATTCATGGGTGCTGCAAGTATGCTATGTGTAAATTATGGTACAGTAGTCACCTAGTCTCTCTGAGCCATTGGTACTTCAACTGCACTCTGGAACAACTTTATTTGATATCAGTAATTGTATATGTTGGTAGTACGGTATTCATAAGTGTGGGGATTTGGGGCGGTGGGGAAAGCAAAAACCCAACAAATGGTATTATCTGCTCCTTTTGTTAGATGCACCAGCTGCTTAGCTCCAATCTGCTGCAAGGTTGTGATGAGGTAAGTTTATGCAACAAATGGAAGACTTTAACTGTTCTTTATAGTCAAAAGCTAATCGCATAGAATATAGCATAGTTTAAGGATACCAGTTAGCTCTAGAAATGAGCTAGCTTGGATATCTGCAGCAAATAATTTAGTATGGTCTGCTCCCCTGCAGTTTCCAATGTAGATGTATCCCCAGTGTGCTACCACTGAACTTCTAAGAGTCATCTGTTTGGAGCATAGTGGTATTTGTGGCAGTCAACCAAACCCTTCCTAATCGTTTTCTGAAAACATATGTTGAACTGGTCATACCCCTTTTTTTAATGACATTCTCTAACTTTTATACTATGAAACTTGCCGCAAAACAAGCGTGATCCGAGATAAGCAATGTTAGACCTGTAAGAGCTGCCAACACTTCATTATGTTTTGTTCTTAACATATCCTGTAGTTATTACTTCTGCATCTTGTAACTGAAACACTTTAACATGGCATATGGTTTTAGTTTTCGAAAAGAGCTTTGTCTTATATCCTGCGTATTTTCCGTTCACTTATGAAACTTGCTTCGTCTTAAAAACTTGTTCTGATTCTGTCCTGACACTTGTGAAACATTAAATTGTTGCTGTTTCAGACATTTAAAAGCTTCCTTAGTTAATTTGTGGAGAAAGGCATACCTAGGTATAAATCTTCCCACAGTATCATGCCCCAGAGTGTCTCTTATCCGCACCTAAATAGCGCCAACCATCTCTTAACAAAAATTGTAACTTCACTGTGTAGGCCATGCATAGACACAACACAAAATCCCTTGTACTATTTTTTTTTTTTTTCCTGGGAACTGAGGTTTGGAGATACCCACTTTTAAGATCGTAGTGAACTGAATGGAATATGGAACTGAAATTTTCAGGGAGAGTGGGGTTCTTCTTGTGTTTTGGGGTTGTTGTTGTCGTGGTTTTATTTTACTCTCCTTTTCCCAGCCCCCATTTCAAAAGGGGAAGACTACTTGTATGCCTGACCGCTCGCTATGTAACGAAAGGCTGGTCTACAGGCTTTTATGTGCCAGACTTAATTTAACAGTATAAACTCGTTCACGTTCACTGTGAGTAACAGCAAGAGATGGGGAAGCAGATTTCAGCAATACAACATTTTGGTAATTGGGAGCTTCGCTGAGGTTTTATTATAAATGAATCCTGTGAAGAAGAGCAAATGGGTCCCAGGCATAGAGTTACGAATGAAGGATTGAATGTATTTCGGTTGTCTGGTAGAGAAAGGGAGTCTTTCTGCTTATGCTTTTGTTTTGAAAGGGGAGGAGGAGAAATTGAAACATTCAGAATGAAAAATTAGTTTGTTATAACTTAGGCTGTGACTCAGTTAAGGAAATACGTCACTTTCCTGTTTTGTCCGTTGCCACTGGAAATACTGTAAGTGATGGGAATAAGCTGTTTCAGGAACTTTAAAAACACATACCTGTAGAAATGCTGAAACTAAATTTTCAGGGAAAACTCTGTTCTACGTCTTGGTTTCCTTTTCATCCTAAACCACCGATCAGTTCTGTGGTTCAGCATTACAGATTGTATTATGAATAGCTTCAGAGAGCTGAAATGCCCTCTTGTGTCTGAGGGGAAGGATGCTTTTGAATTCAAATAATATTGTGGTCTGCTTAATAGCTGAGCACTGAAGGACAGTCAAAGTGACAAAGGCAAGTTCCTGTGAATTTTTAATATGGCTGTCTTCCCGGTTTCCTTTTAAAAAATGGTGCTTTTTGAAGAGCCAGCAAAGAGGTGGCTTAGTAACACAGCCTGACTTTTATCATGCTGGTGATATGTGCCCCTTCTTGAATTCTTGCCACTGTCACATGCGCTCCTGCAAGAGCAATGTTTACCCCCACAAGCTGCTGTCATGTCCGCACCTGCCTGCATGGCGGTGAGTTTAAGACCTTCAGCTGTTGAGACCTTGGCACTGCTCTAACCAGATGTTTCTAGCCCTTTCCAAGCTCGCAGCGGATAATGTGGCAGACTATATAAAATCATCATCTTGCAGGCCACCCTCTAAACAAGTAATTCAATACCGGCTTTCTTCAGCAATTGAAAACGTCTCTTTAAGAAAAGGAACCCTGGACTTGCTGCCAAAATGTCTGTTAAAAATGTCCTTGAAGAATGGGCTGGGGGGGGTATGTGTAACTGTTTTTTCTCCTGCTGTCAAGAGGGAATGTGTATGGAATACTTGCTTAGGAAAGTCTTTCTGAGAAATAAAATCACTGATGATCCTAATTCTATTGAGATGATCGTCAATGATGCTACTGTTTTATATTATCATTCACAGCCCACAAATGAAAATAAATAAAATCCCCTGAGAACTTAAACACTGTTGGATAGTTACTATTTTGAAAGCCAGCACTTGTCAACAATTACTTTACAGTGTTATCTGAGCAGCAGTGTCACCCATATATTTAGAAACTCTGGCAGCTGTTTGCAAATCTGGTAGTCATTTTTAATCACCAGTGGTTTACAGACTAGAGTTTTGTTACACCTAATATAAAAGCATGGCTTTTTCCTTTCTCCTATAATCATTTGAGACTCACTTGAGTCTCTCCCTAACCTTTTCTCTCCCCGAGCCTTGCTAGAAAAGAAGAAATTAAGAACTAGACAATAGCAATAAATGTATTTCTTCCTACCCCAAACCTTTTGCAAAAGGAGTAAATTTTGAAGTCTCAGAAATGTAAAGGAGGTTGTCTTGTAGCTTCTTTGCATTACGGTTTGTACACAAACATACTAGGGCCTTGCTGTAGCAGTCACTAAATAAAAAAATATTATGTCCTGCCCCTGTTCTTGGACTGTGCTCTAACTAGGCTTTCCTAGCCAAGAAGTCAAGTCTGCTGCAGGTCAGAGTCCGGGAGCTAGAGCTACTTTCTGCAGCAATAAGGAATGGAACTCCAAAAGAGTCTCCAAAAGTCAGTGAACCAGTGAGCTGATGAATGCTGCTGGAAAAATAACCCTCCTCTTTCTCAGATTGTGCTAATCACTACCACAGGCTGGACTGTGCGGTGACAGAGCTGAAAATCCAAAGGAGTTAATGCCCTGTTAGGTAAGGAAATGTAACACAACCAAAAAACCATGTGAGGTACTCCCTGGGGAAAAAAGGCAACCTTTATCATAACCAGGTTCTGTGATACTATTTGAACACATTAGAAAGTTACAATTGTATAATGAAGTTGTGCCCAAGAAAGGCACAACTGTCCTGAAGACCCACTCCAGGACAAAGTACAGTGTAAGACTACAATCTGGTTAAGGTTACTTTTGTTTCGGCTCTTCTCAAAGAATCAACATCTCTTTTCTCTCTGGTAATTTTCTTTTGCATAATTTAAAGTACAGCATTCAAATTAATCTTCAATGTGTATAGGAGCAACAGGATTAAAAATTGGTCGCTCCTTCTTTGATTGTATCTTACCATAATTGACTTCAAAATCTTTCTTAGTACCATTCAAACTTTCTAGAGTTCCACTCTTTATATCGTATCCCAAAGCAGAGAGTTTTTTAATTCGGTATTGAACAATTTGCGTTGTCAACTCCAGCACCATTGGTGTCTCTCTAATCTGTGCTACAGAAATTCCTTCCTTCAGTAGTCCTTCAAGTCTTTCTTCCAAAACTGGAACAGAGTAGTAGAGAAGGGCTGGGCATTTCAGCACTAGCTGTTTTAATTCTTGATCACTGCACTTAAAGACATTTTTGGAAAAAAGCATACTCTTCTGCATAGTAGAAGAAGTAAGTTGAAAAATGAAACCTTTAAGCTTGGACAGCAGCTGTAGAACTTCATGGTCAGTGAAATCATTCTGTTGGAGAAATTCCAAGTTCTCCTGGATTGCGGTGGAGGTATTTAATAAAATAAATGGATTTTGGCTCAATAGCTTCAGTATCCAGATCTTCATATTTGCATCAGAACCTCCTAAACTTAAATAATTTCTTTGTAATGTCTCTATCACGTTTTTGTTTTTCTCAACAGGATTATAGAAAATACTGGGTGCACTTGTCAAGAACCTGGTGATTATGTTATTCTTAAGTCCCAACTCTTGAAAAAACAGTATATTTGCCTTCTGGTTCTCATGATATTCAGTAGTAAAAAAAGACTCTGGAAATTGCTCTATTAATTTAATCAACTGTTTTTCATTCTGGCATACTAATTGCCATAGAGCTCTTTGAGAGTTTATCTCTGCAGGGGTATGGAGAATTGCCTCTGGGCAGCGTTCTAAAATGTTGGCTACAGCAGTCTCATCTGCTCCCATTTCTTGTAAGATACCAGCAATTTCCTTAACGTAGGCCACATCCTGGAGAAGGACCCATTCCTTTAGTCTGCGTATTTTCTTAATGTCAACTGACAATCTGTAGAGACTCTCAATGGTTTTTTTATTTTCCTCTCTTGATTTTGTATCAGTTGTGTAAGTGGAATGTATTAGGAAACTTCTGTTTGCTACTTCGGTCCATACTGATGAAAAATTCAGTCCCGGGTTACAGTACTGAGATCTTGCCAACAGAAGAGTAAATGTATCTTTTGCGCCGTGAGCGACTCCTCTCAACATAGTGGAATTCAGCCCTGGGGTGAGAGAACAACTATAAGAAAACACATTTAAGGCACAAGTTAATGCTCAGAGACATTGATACTTAGACTGAGCTGGCATAAGAAATTACTCTCAACAGTGTTTTTTGTTATTAGCACCAAATGCAGCTTTCACGCGAAAGCAGAGGGGGAATACTTCTGAAAGGTTCATGTTCTGACAGATGCCTCACTGAAACAATAACATGCAGATGCAACAGACCTGATGTGGGGGCAGCGCTCTGTCCATATAAATGCTTGCAGTCATACAAGAACCAAACTGTCAACTATTTCCTGCAGCTAACATTGTTATTACATTACAGCTCGCTCACACTATACTAGAAAAATGTTTCATGCAATTCAATTTGACAGTAGTTCTACTAAATGAATTAAAAAAAAAAAGGCAGCTTAAATATCTTTCTTAACCCTTCTGAATGTATTTGCTTAACTTCTCAAGCATTGTTTGGAGTGTGACTTGTTCCTTCATATGTCAGAGACCCCCCTGGTGCTCCTTCAGCAGCAGTTTGTAGCCTAGCTGCATTTTGAAATCGTTCTTGTTATAATTAAGGAAAAAAAATCACTGAAACCTTTATGTATGCGTTTTTCACTAGCAGAGTCTGTAAATTGGGTTCTGAATAAGCACACTGGTATTTTGGGGGAGGAAGCAAGTACACTGAACGTCTTCAGGCCTTCACTTGCCTCTTCCAGTACCTACTTTGCTACAGCTGCCCTTTGCACTGATGCCTTGTTTCTGTCTCCAGGTCACTTATGTCGTTGCCAGCTACCCTCAGTAGGCAGAGTCCTCGTGCACCCCGTGGAGTAGGCACGTGGCTGTGCTGGGGTCCACACAGCAACCATAGGGTAGTTGTGGGTAACCCCATACCTGGCAGTCAGTTTGAACAAAGGTAGGGTATCACCAATAGCACATGCGCTGCTACCTGCTCTGCGATGGCCAAAGGAGTCGCAGCAGTAAAGATACCATCAAGTGTATCTTTAACTTCCTAGGTGGTGGTTCCGTAACAACCTTTTGGAAGCACGGAGTGTGAAAGGGAGAATT